ACCGTGCCAGCCCTGGCAATGCCACCGTGCCAGTACTGGCAGTGTGACAGCGCCAGCCTTAGCAGTGTCACCATGCCAGCCCTGGCAGTGTCACCGTGCCAGCCCTGGCAGTGCCACCGTGCCATCTCTGCCAGTGTCACCATGCCATCTCTGGCAGTGTCACCGTGCCATCTCTGCCAGTGTCACCGTGCCATCTCTGGCAGTGTCACCGTGCCAGCCCTAGCAGTGTCACCGTGCCATCTCTGACAGTGTCACCGTGCCATCTCTGGCAGTGTCACCATGGCAGCCCTGGCAGTGTCACCGTGCCGCCCCTCCAGTGTCCCCCCTCCCCCCCGCGGGCCGGGGTCTGTCCCGGGCTGTCCCGGGCTGTCCCGTGCGGAGCGCTCCCGCAGCGGGCACAGCCCGGGCTGAGCCCCCCGGACCCGGGCACCGTCCCCTCCCGCCCCTGCCCGGCCCCCGCTCCTCCGGGAATCCCACCCGGGGTCGCTGCCGGAGCCGGGAGTTCGGCCCCAGAGGCTCCGGGGGTTCCTCGTGCCCGGCGCGCCGAGAACACAAAAAACCCCGGCCAAAAAACCAGAAACGGCGAGGAGAGGAACCATTTCCTCCACCGCTAATTGTCCCGCTGTTAATTAACGAGAGTGTGGGGGCGCTGATTAGGATCTCCCCAAGCCGCAGGTCCTGGCAGGGGACAGCGGTGACCACACGGGGCTGAGCCCGGCCCGGGGGCAGGAGGGGGCCTGGACTCGGGAAACTCTGTGGGGCTGGGTTTGGGATCGGGGAACGGAGATTTGGGATTGGGAATTGAGATTTGGGATTGGAAAATTGAGATCTGGGATTGGGGAACTGAGATTTGGGGTTGGAAAATTGAGATTTGGGATTGGGGAACGGAGATTTGGGATGGGGGAATGGAGATTTGGGACCTGAGATCTGAGATTTGGGATTTGGGACCTGAGATCTGGGATTTGGGATTTGGCACCTGAGATCTGGGATTTGGGAATCTGCCCCGCTGCCACCCTCCGAGGCGTTTCCTGTGGCCGGGGCGTGGCTCGAGTGACCACAGCAGGGTCCGGCTCCAGCCCCAGCTCTCCGCTCCCAGAATTCGGGGAGATGGGAATGAAGGTCCCAAAGCCTCTTTAAGGGGTTCCTTTCCCAAATTAACGTGGCCAGGCCGGGGCTAATGAGTGGGATAATTAATTAAATCTGTCCCTTTTCTGCCTCGCATCTTCCCGAAGGTTTCCAAATGGGGAATAATTCATTATCCCAAAGTTCCCACGGAGGGAAATTGATCCCACAATTAATGCCAGGCTCTTAATGAACCTTCCAAAGAATGGTCGAGAATGGCCGGGAATGGCAGGGAACGGGCGGGAATGGCCGGGAATGACGGAATTATCACCTCTGCCTTTATGGGGCGGCAAAACCGGCGCCGGTTTGCTCCCCTCCAAAGAGGAATTCAGGAATTCTCCCCATTCACCCATCCCAGCAGGGATGGAATTCCAGGGGCGATTTCCTCCCGGGCCATCTCTCCTTGTTGTTCCCACCAGGCGCCTTTGATTTCCAGCCACGCGTCCCCGGGAAAATCAAACCCAGATCGGCGTCCTGGAAAATATTTGGAGGTTCTGAAGCAAAAAATCGGCCCTGGGAGGGGGAGAGGGGGCGGGGAGCAGCGCCGGGTTGGGGATTTTGGTCACATCTCAGTGGTTTCATCGCAGCTCCGAGCGGGGACAATCAGGGCAGGGATCCTGGGGGCTCTGGGGTCCTGCCGCGGTTGTGGAGGGGGGAAATGCGGGTTTCCAGCCCTGCCTGGGGATTTGCGGGCGCCACACCCGCTGCGGAGCCTCGGGCGCTGGGGATGGGGCCGGGAGCTGCCCGTGCAGAGCGGGGTTCACCTTCCCGAGCCCAGCCCGCTCCGGAGCCCGGAGCCGCTTTTTGAGCCTCTTTTGGCAGAAAATTTCAAATCCTGGCCTTGTTGGAGCTTTTAAAATAAAGGGGGGGGGGAGGGAATCAGCGCGAGCTCTGCTGTCCCTCCTGTCCCTCTGCAAGCGCCCAGCCCCCGCTGTGACATCGCTGTCACCTCCCACGTCCGGCGTCCCCTGGGGCCACCCCTGCGCCACCGGGTCACCTCCGGACGTGATTCACGGCGGGGGGAGCAGGCGCTGGCTGCTCTGGGGGTGCCTGGCACCCCCCGGGGCACAAACCGGGCTGGCTGCTCCCCCTGGGGCAGGACCAGCCCCGGGGGATGACACCCCCCTGCATGACCCCCGCTCCCGGAGGATGCTCCCCACCGTCCCCTCACCCCCTGCTCTCCCGGCCCGGCTTTTCCCGGTGCCGGGACGCCCCAAAAGCCGGGGGGGACAGCCCGGGGCGGCGGGGGGAGCCCGGGTGGTGCTGCAGCGTCTCCCGGCTGGCCCGGGACCGTTCCGGGCTGCAGATAGCGCGGCTGCTCGGCGGTGGCAGCGCGGGCGTGTGGGAGGGCAGACGCCAGGCTGTCTGCTCCCACTCCGCTCGGCTTGTTATTAACTTCTCCTTGGGCTGCCATTAACCCAGAATTCCTGCTCCTGGCTCCAGGCTTTCCCCGCGCCGCTCTATCTCCAGCCTAATTACAGCTGTTGGGATCTCCCTTTATCTCGGGGGATCTTTGGGGTTGGTTACCTGGCACACGCGTTCCCGGCCCCCCCTCTCTCCTCCTCGCACGCCCATCCCTGCCTTCCCCTTTAATCCTTCCTTGCTTTCATCAGCCCCGCGGACGGGAGCAGCGCGGCTCTGCCCGCCCGGCTCCGCGTCCCGGGGCTCGCGGGAGCATCCCCGGCCCGGTGACCGCCGGCGACGTTATCGCCGCGTGTCCCGGCGCGTCCCGGCCACCGCGGGGGCCCGGCGTGTGCCGGCACCTTCCAGCCCCGCCGCCGAGGCTCGGGCTTGGCTCCGAGCGCGGCCGTGATTTATTTTTTTAATTCAGCGCGGGTTGAGTCGATGTGTTTGTCTTGGCAGCTCCAAGCCCAAACTCCGCTCCGACAGCCCCGTCCTGTCCCTGCCAGCCCCCGCTGACACCCAGCGGGCTGGCACCCGAGCCGGCCGTGCCCACATCGCTCCTGGAGCCCTCCCAGAACCGCCCCGGTGTGACCGGGGGCTCTGCACAGCCCGGGGGTGGGTGACCGAGTTCTATCCTCTCTCCAGAAGGAGTTTGGGGCAGGCAGCGCTTCCCTGTCCCTGTCGCTGTCACTGTCCCTGTCCCTTGTCCCCAATCTCAGCCCCGTGCCCACCGTTGGCACAGAACGGGGCTGAGATTGGCACCTTCAGACCCCCGACCTACAGGATGAGGAGGATGAGGAGGATGAGGAGGATGAGGAGGATGCGGAGGATGCGGAGGATGAGGAGGATGTGGAGGATGAGGAGGATGAGGAGGATGAGGATGGTGTCACCACTGTCCTGCTGCTCCCCCTGGGCTGCCCCTTCTTGTGGGTCCCCCCTGGAGACCCCCAAATGGGGGGGGAATCCGTCCCCACTCGCTCGGTGGGATGGGATGGGGAGGGATCAGTGGGATGGGATCAGTGGGATGGGATCAGTGGGGCCGATGGGATGGGGAGGGGTCCCATCCCTCCTTCCACGCCTGCTGTGCCCCCTTGCCCCAGCAGGGAATTGAACTCTGGGTGTGAACCCTCCCTGCTCCTGCCAGAGGCCAAATCTTGTCCCCAAACAGCCCTGGGGACACCGTCCTGCAGCATCTGGCACAGGGGCCTCGGCTCCCTGCTTTAGACTCGACATTTTGGGATACTTTTAAATTTTTGGGGTATTTTTATGAATTCTGCATATTTCTTCCATCCACCTCTCAGCAGAGGGGCGGGACAGGGTCTGCGACATTCCTGGGATCCCCCAGGGGACCCTCACTGGTGGTGGGGGGGGATGCCTCCCCCAGCCCCCCCTCTGTGCCATCCACCTCTCAGCAGAGGGGCGGGACAGGGTCTGCGACATTCCTGGGATCCCCCAGGGGACCCTCACTGGTGGTGGGGGGGGATGCCTCCCCCAGCCCCCCCTCTGTGCCCCCAGCGCCGGGAGAGGAGCCGGGAGGGAGCGGAGCCGGCGGGAGCTGATCCCGGCAAGCCGGCACCCGCCCCGCGGCCGGTGGGGCTGAGTCACCGGGGAAAGTGAGGAGCGGGATAAAAGCAGATCAGGGGAGCTTCCCTTCCCTTCCCCCCCCCCCCGAGGCTTAGCCCCCTCCCCAATTTAAGGCTGTTGCGGGATTTGGAGCCCGCGTTGTCCCTGGGGTCACCGCGGGGACACAGCCGGGAGGGGACAGCCCGAGGGACAGCCCGGACACCCGGCCGTGGCCCCCGGTGCCCCCGGGGCCGCGCTGGGGACACGAGCGGGGTGCGGGCAGGAGCGGGGGTGCGGCCGGGCCGTCCCCGAGCCTGAGGGGGGGTGGCGACAGGGGACCCTCCCTGCCGCTGTCACCGCTCCCGCCCCGGCAGCAGGGACAGCGCTCCCTTCCCGCGGTGCCACCCCGGTGTCCTCAGAGCCACCGCAGCCCCGCCGAGGCTCCGTGGCTGTCCCCAAAGGCGGTGACAGCGGCTCCCGGGCCGGGTTTTGTCCCCGCTGTGTCCCCTGCTCGCCCCCCAGCCCCGGGGCCCCTCCGGGGTCACGGGCAGGTTGTCACCCGCCGGGAAGGGGCCCCGCGGGGACCGGGGGTGGCTCGGGAGGTGCCACCCCCGCCTGGCATCGCGGCTCCGCCCGTGTCCCCCTGTCTGTCCCCCGAGCGGCCTCAGCCACCCCCGCCTGCTCCCGGGGCTGCCCCGTGTCCCCCGGGGGGCCCTGAGAAGGGGTGACTCCCCCCAAAATCCTGCTCGAGGGTCACCCCCAGCCCGGGGACACGGGGGGGGGTCGGGGTGTCCCCCAGCCTCGGGAGGGTCACGGTGGCACAGGGCGGGGATGGCCCCGAAGGGGTCCCACACGCCAAGGGGGGGTGGGCACGGGGTGAAGGGGGTGCCCCGGGGCTGACCGGCCGGACCATGACCATGAGCTCGGTGGCCGAGACCCTGCTGGGCTCCGACCCCTCCAAAGCCGCGTTCCTGGAGCTCGGCCCCCCCCAGCACTACCCCCTGCACGACCCCCCGCCCTTCCCCTCCTACGCCCGGCCCGGGCCCTTCCCGTACCCCGGCGGGGCCCCCCCGCCGCCCCACGGGGGTCCCTACCTGCCCTACCCGCCCCCCGGCGCCCCGGCCCCCGGGGCCCGGCTGCAGAACACAGGTAAGGGGGGCGTGGGGGGCCGGGGGAGCCGGGCCGGGCTTGGTGCGGAGTCTGGGGGCAGCCGGGGGGGGCTGGGGGTGGTGTTCCCCCACTCCCAGAGCCCCCGACCCGCAGGGGACACGTGGGTGGTATCGAGGAGCCGCGGGCACCGGGAGCATCAGCCCCTACAGGCCGTGCCCTCCCACCTGAGACCCTCTGGGACCCCCACCCCTCCCCTGAGCCCGGGGCTGCTCCCGGGGGTCCCGAGCCCGGCTGAGCCCCAGGCCTTGCCGCGCTCCCTGGGTGACAGACACCGGGCCAGGGACCCCCGGGGCAGGGGGCTCCATCCTGGTGCCCCTCCATCCCCCGGGGGTCGCCCGCGGCCCCCCCAGCCGGGCGCAGGCCGAGGCCCGTGTCCCACGTGCTGCTGGACGCTGTCACTGCCTGAACGGCGCCGTCCTTCCTCCTCCTCCTCCTCCTCCTGTCCCTCTGCCTTCCCCGAGGTTTAAACACCAGAGGAGAGCAGCCCCCCACACTGACCCCCCTCCCTTCCACAGACACCCCCTGTGTAGCCACGGCGGTGGTTTGGGGTGGGTTTTGGGTGGGTTTGGGGTACCCAGCACCGGTACCGCCCGGCCCGGGACCCCGCGGGGCCACCGGGATGCGCCCGTGCCCCTCGGTGCGCCCCCACCGGCACGGCGCCGTGCCCGGCTGGAAGCGAGCCGAGCCGAGCCGTGCCGCGGCGGGGGAGCTGGCGCCGGTGGGCCCGCAGGGCTCGGGTTTGGGGCGCCCCTGCCCGCACCTCCCAGCGGCTGCGGGACTTTCCCAGCCCCGGAGCCTGGCTGGCGGCCCGGCCGTGCCCGGCGCTGGGCGGCCCCGGGCCGCGGGACGGGGCGAGTGGGTTTTTGAAGGCGATGGGGAGAGACAGGCAGGCGGCAGCGGTGCAGCCCCGGAGCCAGGGGCGAAGCGAGCTCATAAAGCCGGGGAAGAGGAGACAAGTGGGAACCTGCCGGCAGCGCGGGGGGGACCGCGGGGAGGAATGAGCGGGGCCCGGCCCAGCCCCGGCACCGGCACCCGGCGGGGCTGGCACTGCCGCGGACACCTGGGGACACTCCCGGGGACCCTGCCTCGCTCTCCGGGCTCCCGGTGCCTCCCCCCGGCACAGAGGGGAGTCCCGGGTGCCTTGTGGAGGGTCGGGCCCCCAGCCCGCTCCATGCAGGAATGGGGTCAAGGGGGTCTGTAGTGGTTAAAGGTGGGGTTTAGGGGGTGTTGGGCTCCTCCTCCCCCCTCAGCCCCCTCTCCCTGCCCCCAGGTGAAGATCTGGTTCCAGAACAAGCGCTCCAAGTACAAGAAGATCATGAAGCAGGGCCCGGGTGCCCCCGACGGGGAGCAGACCCCGCACAGCGTCCCCGCCCTGTCCCCCTGCTCGCCCGGCCTCCCCCCGCTCTGGGACCTCCCCGGGCCCGGCAAGGGCCCCCCGCTGGCCCCCGGGGGCTACATCAACAGCTTCGGGGCCTGGTACCAGCCCCCCCCGCAGGACGCCATCCCCAGGGCCCCCATGATGTGACACTGCCACCGCTGCAGCAGCGCCGCGTCCGCAGGGACACCGAGGGACACGAGGGACACCGAGGGACACTGGGGGGACGCTCTGCCGCTGCCCCCCGAGGGACTGTGAGCCCAGCAAAGCCCTGGGGTAACCCAGCGGGTGGAGGAGGAGGAAGAAGAGGAGGAAGAAGGTGACAAGGATGGGCAGGAGCCCGGGGATGTCCTGCTCTGTCACGCTCCGCGGCGACCCCGCGCCCTGGGGGCCACCCCAGCGGGACAGGACTCGGCCCAGGGTCCCCCCATTCATGGACAGGGGGCAGGGGGAGCCCAGGAGGGGCTGGGGAGCGCCGCCCCCCCCGGCCTGGCTTTATTCATAAATTCTGTGGGGGGTTGGTTGTGCCCCCGTCTCTGAAGAGGCTGAGCATCGATCGCTTCTGCTCCCCCCGGCTTTGGGGTGCCCCTGCTTTGGGGGGGCACCCCCGGCTCTCCCAGTCCCTGGGAAAGCAGCCGGAGGGGCTGGGGGTGCAGGGGCAGGGGCTGCGTCCCCCCAAACCTCTGCCCGAAATGGACCCCAGTTACAGGAACTGTGGGGTCGGGGCTCATGAGGGGGTCCCGGCTCCTCCTGCGGGGATTTGGGGCAGCTCGGAGCTGTCAGAGACGTCTCCCCCAGCAGGGGTGGCACTGGGAGGGCAGGGGGACACGGGGCAGCCTGGGGACCCCAGCTGAGCCCGGTCCCTGCCCGGTGTCCCCGCAGACACCCGGCCCCGGGAGCGAGGAGGGCGTTTGGGAGCAGGGGGGGATTTCCCTCCGCGGGTTTGGCTTTGTGTTTCCCGAGGCCAGAACCCGGCTGCAAAATACATCCTTGTTGTTTCCCTTCCTTTCCGTGTCGTTACTTCCCCTTTTCCCAACCCTGCTCCGCGTTTGTCCCCTGCAGTGGGGACCAGACCCCACCGGGGCTCCCCTGGCAGAGGGGCAGCAGCTCTGCCTCCCTGGCACAACAGCCCTGGCTCCTGAAATTCCCATCCTGTGGTGCTGCTCCCGGTATTCCCACTCTGTGATCCTGGTTCCTGAAATTCCCACTCTGTGATCCTGACCCCCGATATTTCCATCCCGTGTTTCTGCTCCTGAAATTCCCACTCTGCGATCCAGGTTCCCAACATTCCTGCTGCATGATCCTGGCCCCCGATATTCCCAGTCCATCATCCTGGCCCCCGATATTCCCAGTCCGTGATCCATCCCTGCCCCGAGGGTCCCTTCCGACTCCCTTCCAGGACCTGCTCTGTTTTGCACCTGCGGTGCCTCTCGGGGCCGGGTTATCCCCGGATCCCCCCGAGGGGTCGGGATCGAGGGCGGGGGTCGGGGCTGGGGGGGAGATCGGAGCCTGCCCGGGGCTGGTGGCACCGGGGACCCTCCTGTCCCCATTCCCCTGTCCCGTTCCCGGCCACCCTGGGAGCTCTGGTCCCTCAGCCGAGGGCTCTGGGGTGCTGATCCCACGGGATGGGTGTCCCCAGGGTGCCGTCCCCACGGGATGGGTGTCCCTGCTGTCCCCATGGGCTGTGCCACGGGATGGCTGTCCCCAGGGTGCTGTCCCCACGGGATGGCTGTCCCCAGGGTGCTGTCCCCATGGGCTGTGTAGCCCGTGACGCTCCCAGTGGGATTTTCCCGCAGGATGGAGCCCACCCTCCCCACCCAGGATTTAGGGAAGGGGAGGGTTTGGGCCGCGGTGTCACCGCCCTGTGCCCAGCAGGACCCCCGGGGGATGGGGACAGACCCCGCGCGGCTCCGGGCTGCCGAGGGCCGGGCCCAGGGCCGGGGCTGCCGGGCCGGGCCGTGGGCGGGCGCTGCCCCCGCTCCCGGGGCTGGCACCGGGTGACGCAAGGGCTGCGGGTGTCGCAACGGGGCAGGAGCCGAGTGCGCGCCGGGAGGGCTCTGCTGGGCCCGGGGACAGCGGGGGACGGGGCACTGCCACCCCGGCACTGCCACACCTGGCACTGCCACCCCGGCACTGCCACACCTGGCACTGCCACCCCGGCAGTGTCACATCTGGCACTGTCACACCTGGCACTGTCACACCTGTCACTGCCACCCCGGCACGGCCACCCCGGCACTGCCACACCTGGCACTGCCATCCCTGGCATTGTTACACCTGGCACTGCCACCCCGGCAGTGTCACACCTGGCACTGTCAGACCTGTCACTGTCACGCCTGGCCCCCTGTCCCCAAAGCTTTTCCCGGAGCCCCCCGCCCCAGGTTTGTCCCGGAGCCCCCCGCCCCAGGTTTGTCCCGGAGCCCCCTGTCCCCCAGGTTTGTCCCGGAGCCCCCCGCCCCAGGTTTGTCCCGGGGTGCGGCGGTGGCTCCCGGCCGTGGGCAGCGCGGCACCCGGCATTTACATAATCCCTGGGTATGTAACCCGCCGCCTTCCTGGGTTTTTTTTTCTGCTCCTCCAAATGAAAAAAAAAAAAAATTATATTTAAAAAAAAATGTATAAAAACTAAACCGAAACCTCCTGACGGCGCGGAGCTCCCGGCTCCGGTTCCTTCTCCCGGGGGCTGGGAACGGGCACTCGGGGCTGCGCTTTTGGGGGGATTTGGGGCGGGGTGGGAGGGAAATCCCTGCGTGGCTTTGGGACCGGGGGACGCGTCTGGGGACACCGAGAGCGCTGGGGCCTCCCCGGGGGACCCGAGCGGGGTTTGGGGTCCCCGCGGCCATCGGGGGTGATGGGGACAGCCCTGGGGGGTGATGGGGTCCCCACATCCGTGACACAGCGAGGGGGACAGCGGGGACAGCAGGACAGGGCCACCACAGCCCTGGACACCCCGCGGGGGTTTTGGGGGTCACGGCAGCGCCCCAAGCCCACAGCGCCGCGGGGAGCGGGTGGATCCCGTGGGGTTTTGGGATTTTGGGAGGGTTTGTTCTGTCCCCACCTCGCTGTCCCCAAAAGGGGACATCGGGGCAGGGCTGGGAGCTCGCTGGTCCCCGTGGGAGCAGCGGGAGGGAAGCGCCGGGGTCCCGCGGCCGTTTGGGGAATGCTCTGAAAACCGGAGAAAAAAATTCCTTTTCCTGCCCCAAATTCCCTCTCAGCAAGACCAACATCAGCCGGTGCCGCCCCGTGCCCAGCTGTCCCCCAAAACGGGGATTAAATCCACATTTCATGGTGGAAAAACCCCAAAGCCTGCTCTCCAAAACCCTCCAGAACCCGGGGAAAATCGGAGCTCGGAGCTTTAACTTCAGAATTTTCGTTAATGAACATTTCCAGCCCGGCTTTGGGTCCCGGGAAAGGAGCAAAGGACACTCAGGGACACCCGAGGGGGGTTCCCATCAACCAGGGGGGGGGATTTTCCTTAGGAAAAAAGAAAAATTATAGACAAAAAAAAAAAATCAGACCGAAACCAGTTTGGTTTGGAACAACTTTATACAAACGAACCTTATGTACACTCCCTTTTTTTCCCCCCAAAACACCCCTATTTATAGAAGGCAACATAAATAAATCCCCGGGACTGTACAACACTATGAACACTCCTTAAAACGGCACTTTCTGCTTAAAAAAATAGCGGTATTCTCTTAAAAAATAGGAAAGAGCTCGGTTATTTTTTTTTTCCTTTAAAATAAGTCGTCGATTTCCTTAAAAAAGAGGCATTTTCGCCGTTCCTTTACCCACAGCTGGAGGCACAGCCAGAAAACGGAGATGAGCACGAGTTTTTCCTCTTCAAACAATAACTTAAACCCATTCCTGAACTGCTTAAATATTAAAATATTTCCCTCCCCACACCCCCCTACCCGATTTTTTTATTTCATTTTAAACCACCAGTTTCTGGTCTGAGCATGGTCCCGGGTGATTCCGGCCGGGGTGAGGGTCCCGCTTTGCTCCCGTGACCCCCAAAACCGCCCCCGATTTGGGAGCCGGGGCCGAGCGCTCGGCTGGGGACAGACACGCCCCTGTCACTGTCGCGACAGCGGTGACACCGCGCCTCCAGCCCGGCGGGGTCACCCCGACAGCAAAGCTCCGGCGAGGGTGGCATCGGGGACTCCGGGGGCCAAATTTGCCGGGTGGGGCGGGGGGGTGAAGGGGGTGATGGAAAATCTCGGGAAATGAAAACGTGCAGGAGGATTTTTCCAGCTTTTCCTGCGCCGGGAGCGGAGGGTTGGGAGCCCTCGCAGTCCTCTGGTTCCTGAGACGAGCGGGGCGAGCAGCGAGGATTTCTAGGGGTGCGCGGGGGGGGTTCCTTTCCTTTGGTTTGTTGCTGTTGTTGTCGGTGGTGGTTTTTTTTTGGTGTTTTTTTTTCTTAGGAAAAATCAGGAGACAAAACCAAACCAGCGCGGGGAGTGGGGGAAAAAAGGAGGCCAAGGAGTTGTGCAGCGTCTCTGAGCCCTCGGTGCCCGTCAGTACACGGTGCTGGGGGGCCCGGGGGACGGGTGGTGCATCGGGGGGGCCGCCTGCGCCTGCGGGGGTCCGTGGGGGCCGCTGAGGCTCTGGGGGTGGTACCAGGGGTTGTGCTCCTCCAGGAAACCCGGCGAGGAGCTGTAGGGCAGCGGCTGCGGCAGCGGGGTGCGGGCGCTGCCGGGGCTGTCCCACACCGGCGACGGCGGCGAGTTGCAGGCCATGGAGTCGCTGTTGTTGGGGCTGTGCTCCAGGGGCACCTCGCCGTTCTTGTAGAGCTTCTTGAACTTGGAGCGCCGGTTCTGGAACCAGATCTTCACCTGGGGGGGCAGGGAGAAGGGTCAGAGAGACGGGAAGGAGAGGGAGGGTGGGGTGGGTACGGGGAAAAGGGGCAGAGAGCCGGGATGGGCACAGGGAACAGGCAGAGAGCCGGGATGGGCACAAGGAAAAGGGTCAGAGAGCTGGGAAGGAGCAGGTAAAAGGGTCAGAGAGACGGGAAGGAGAGGGAGCCGGGATGGGCACAGGGAACGGGCAGAGAGCCAGGATGGGCACAAGGAAAAGGGTCAGAGAGATGGGATGGGCACAGGGAGAAGGTCAGAGAGCCAGGAAGGAGCAGGGAAAAGGGTCAGAGAGCCGGGATGGGCACAGGGAACAGGGTCAGAGAGCCCAGATGGGCACAGGGAAAAGGGTCAGGACCTGGCATGGGAATGGGAGAGATGGGATGGGCACAAGGAAAAGGTCAGAGACCCGGGAAGGCAGCAGGAGGGTGGAATGGGCACAGGCAAAAGGGTCAGAGAGTCAGGATGGGCACAGAGAAAAGGGACAGGACCTGGCACAGGAATGGGAGGGATGGGGCAGAGGGGAGGGGACAGGGATGGGTGGTTTGGATCGTAGGGACACTGGGCAGGGGGGTCACGGGCAGCCCAGAAATACAGGAAGGGACATGGGGTCCACAGGGACCCCAGAGACACGGGAGGGGACGTGGGGGTCACAGGGACCCCAGAGACACGGGAAGGGACATGGGGGTCACAGGGACCCCAGAGACACGGGAGGGGACGTGGGGGTCACAGGGACCCCAGACACACTCCGGCCCATAGGAAGGGACACAGGTGGCACATGAGGTGCCACGGGACATCATGGGGACCCCACACGGTGCATGGCACGGAACTCCTGAGGACAGGGGTGTCACGGGACACATGGAGTGTCACCCTTGGTGTGAGTGTCACGGACAGGGACATCCACGGACAGGGACATTCCACGGACAGGGACACCCCGCGCTCTGGGGACAGCACCCACGTGACCGCAGGTGTCACAGGGACCCCTCTGGGGACACGGGCGTCACGAGGAGCCCGTCACGCCACACGCCGGGCGTCGGGAGCGTCCCCGCGCTGGGCGAGGCGGCGCTGGACGCCCTTGGCCCTGGGCGAGGGGCGGGGGTGGCGGTGGTTGTCACCCAAACAGGATGTCCCTCTGGGAGAGGGTGACGCGCTCCGTCAGCCCTTTGCCGAGTGCTCCCGATTGCTTCATCGCCCAAGGGAGGAGGAGGAGGAAGGCCAAGGGCGGCACAAGGGCGCCGGCGCCGGCCCCGAGGCAGGGAGGGCACCGCGATGGGCGCGGGGGTGTCACGGGCTGCGGGGACAGCGGGGACAGCGCTCCCCTGCCACCCGCAGAGCGAGGGGGATTTGTCCCCGCTCCAGGCAGGACCCCAAGAGCGGGGGTTTCACCCCGAATGGGGGCGGCTGGCGGGAGGAGGAGGAGGAGAAGCCCTTCCCGCACGTCCCGGCTCTTCCAGTCCAGCCTGCAGGGCCACCCCAGCGCTGGGGACAGCGGGCGTGGAACCGGTCCCCAAATCCCTTCCCCTGCACGAACCGAGCGGGATGGGGCAGCCAGGGCCGGGGAAACCTTGGGAAGTGCGGGCAGCAGGAGCAGGGAGCCGCAGGTCCCTGCTGGGGCAGGATTTGGGGTCAGGAGCTGCTCTGCGGATGGGGTGTCCCCAGAACCCCACCCCCAGCAGCCCGGCTGGCCCGGGACTCGGTGCCCCACATTCCTGGGACAGCGGGTGTGCCGTGACCCGGGACTGGCCCGGTGCCGGGGCGGGATCCAGCCCCCAACCCCGGGCACGGGGAGGTCTCCAGAGGGAGATAAACCCTGGTTCATCCCAAAATAAACCCCAAAACCGCCGAGCGGGACACGCGGGCTCCCCTCTCCCTGCTCCTCCATCCTCTCCACCTTTCCCTGGGATCTGCTCCAACAGGGAAACCTCACCTGGAGACCCCACGGCAACTCCATCCCTGCGACCCCCGCGAGCCGAGCCCTTCCCAAACCCGGGGTTTACGGGGGGGTGGCAGCTCCGGCTCCCCCTCTGCGGCCCGCGGGGGGGTTTGGGGTGTCGGGGGGGGCTCAGCGCTCACCTGGGTCTGGGTGAGCCCCAGCTGCGCCGCCAGCTCGGCGCGCTCGGGCAGCGCCAGGTACTGCGCCTTCTGGAAGCGGCGCTGCAGGGCGGCCAGCTGGTAGCTGGAGTAGATGGTGCGGGGCTTGCGGATCTTCTTGGGCTTCCCGTTGACCATCCGCACCTCGGGCTCCGGCTCCTCCTTCACCGACACTGCGGGAGGGCGCGGGGCGAGGCGTGAGGGGCTCGCAGGGCAGCCACGCCGTGCCCGGCTCGGTGTCACCCCGTGCCCGGCTCGGTGTCACCCCCTGCCCGGCTCGGTGTCACCCCGCGCCCGGCTCGGTGTCACCCCGCTCGGGGTGCTGGCATGCCCCCGTCCCCTGTGACAACCTCCGGGACACCCCTGGGACGTGTCCCAGCTCGGATCCGTCCCGCTGCGTCCCCACGGGAGCGGCTGAGCCCCGACAGCCGCCAGCAGCCCCTGTCCCCAAGGCGGGGACACCCGGAGGGGCACAACCCCACAAAGACCGGGGACACCCACGAGGGGTAAAACCCCACAAAGATCGGGGACACCCAGAGGGGTCAAACCCCACAAAGCCCAGGGGTTAAACCCCACAAAGCTCAGGGGTAAAACCCCAAAAAACCCAGGGGGGGTTAAACCCCACAAAGCCCGGCGGGGGGTCAAAACCCACAAAGTCCGGGGATCAAACCCCACAAATCCCGGGGGCCAAATCCCACAAAAACCCAGGGGATCAAACCCCACAAATCCCGGGGGGATCAAACCCCACAAATCCCGGGGATCAAACCCCACAAATCCCGGGGGGATCAAACCCCACAAAGCCCCTCCGCGGCCCCGCGGGAGCGGCGGGGCGGGCCCGGTGCCCCCGGTGCCCCTCTCCGTCCGTACCTGCCTCCTGCGGCGGGAGCTGCTGCTCCCTGAAGTGCCCGTACTGGCGGTACGAGGGGCTGTAGGAATACTCGGATTTGGGCGAGTAGGTGCCCGCGGCGCCGATGCCGTTGAGGTTGAACTGCGGGTAGGGGTAGTGGCCCACGGGCTGCCCGTACGACTGGCCCGGGTAGTAGTCGTGCTGGCCCGTGTAGTAGCCCAGGTCGGTGACCGAGGACTCGGGCAGCGTGGGAGAGTCCTTGGAGGCTGCATGGCAGCTCAGCGAGCCCGAGAGGTCCGTCAGGATGCTGGAGAGCTTCTTATCGAAAGAGCCGCTCATGGCGGGGAGGGGGCGGCTGCCTGCCCGCGCCGGGGACCCCCCAACCTGGCGGCTGCCGCGGCCTGGAGCGCCCCGAGCGGAGCCGGAGCCGCGGCTGCTTCGAGAGGAGCCACCGAGAGACTGTGCCCAAACCTCCGGCCCCGGCCGCCTGCTTAAAGCCTTTAATTAGGGAGCAGGGCAGGGTGGGTGCGCATTCCGATTGGCTCCAGAAATATTGCCTGGGAGGCAAAATAGGCTCCTGCCTCCTCCTGTGTGGGTTTTTTTTTTTCTTTCTCTCTCTCTCTCCCTTCTTTTTTTTTTTTTCTTCTTTTTCTCTCTCAAGAAACAACAAAGAGTGGGTGAAGGAGGGTGAGGGAATAAATAAAGTGTGCAGGGTGCTGTCTGCAGGAGGGGGGTCCTGGGGACACAGGGGACACGGCGGGGGCAGGACGGGGCTGTTTACGAGGGAACTTTGGGGCTCTGGGGGGATTTTTTGGAGGATTGTTTATAGAGTTTGTTGTGGAGCAGGGAAGGGGGGTTGGGGTTTGGGACTGGGATGGATCCGTGCTTGGGGCTGGGGGTTTTAGGGGTTTGTTTATGGCCCCCCCCCCCCACTTCTCCCCTGCTCCCACCTTGTCCCAGCGGCGCCCCCCAGGCCAACACCACCCCCAGGCAGAGCCCCCCCGGAGGATCCTCCCGTACCCCCCACCCTGCCACGCTCCCCCCGCGCTGGGGGCACCTCGGGGCGGTGACACCCCCGGGGGCCTGTGCCCCTCTCCCACCCCCACTCAGAGCCGCGACCCCTGTGCTGCCCGAGGACTCCCAGCAGCGTGACCCACCGGGGGTCGCGGGCCAGGCCTGGTCCCCCCCCGGCCCCCCCCCGGGCTGTCCCCACCGCCCCCAGCAGCGGCGAGGGGGGGCTTTGCAAGGGGGGGGGGGTTTTTGGGGAGGGGTCTCTGCTTCTACGGGCAGGAACTTCCCCTGACAGGAACAGGGGGGCTGCGGGGGCGGCTGGGTCGGTGACCTGGGCAGGGCGGGGCAACGGCTCCGCCTGGCGGCCACGGCGGGAACTGCGCCGCGCGCGGGGCCGCGGGTTCGAGTCCCGGCACCGCCAGGAACGCGGGTTCGAGTCCCGGTACCGCCAGGACCGCAGGTTCGAGTCCCGGCACCGCCAGGACCGCGGGTTCGAATCCCGGCACCGCCGGTTCGAGTCCCGGCACCGCCGGTACCGCCCGGGCCGAGGGGGAAGAGGGAGAAAAACGGGGAATGGGAAAGGAGCAGGAATGGGAAGAGGGGAATGGGAGCAGGAATGAGAAACAGGAACAGGAATAGGAATATAGAAATAGGAATAGGATAGGAATACTAATAGGGATAAATAGGGATGGGAATAAGAGTAGGAGCACGGATAGATAGGAATGGGAATGCGCAGGAAGAGGAGTAAGAATGCATAGGGAGAAGAACAGGAATACGAGTAGGAATAGGATTAGAAGCAGGAATGGGAATGAATAGGAATAGGAATGAGAGCAAGAACAGGGAAAGGACAGAAATAGAAATAATAGAAACAGAAAGGAAGGGAAATTATAGAAGCAGAGAGGCAGAAATGAAGAGAGCAGGGATGAGTGCCCAAGGGGGCACGAGGCCGAGCACTGCCTCGCTTCCCACGCGGGAACTGCAGCCGGGGACCCAGGAATCCATTCCGAGGGGACAGAAGCGTCTGCGAGCGCCCAGCCCAGCCCTGGGAGCTGCGCCGGGGTTCCCGGGGAGGTTCCCAGGGTCCCCGGGAGCCGCTGGGACATCCGCGGGTCCCCAGCCGGGCTGTCGCCAGGGCTGGGCGCCGCCGGGAGCGGCTCCGCGGCAGGAAAAGCCGGTTGTGGAGCTGCGGGCCGGGGAGGGCAGCGGGGCCGCAGGGGGAGCGGGTCCGGCCAGTCCCCGGCCGGGCTGGAACTGGGAGCTCCGGGGCTCCGGGGCCGCACCCGCGGAACCCCAGAGCCGGGAGCTGAGGGTGGGGAGGGACTGGGGGTGCCCCCCCCGACCCCCCTGTCACCCCCCAAAGCTAAAGGGTTTCCTCCACGTGTCCCCCCAAAAAGGCCGGGGGGGGGTCGCGCAGCCCGGCAGTGTCCCCGGGAGCCCCCGCGTGTCCCCCCAGCCCCGGCACAGCCGCGGGGGTCGGGCTGGGGGGGTCCCCGAGCGCCCCCACCCCCACCCCCAACCCCACCGAGCATCTTCGGGTCAATGGCGTCACCTCGTGGCCTTTCGGGGCAATGACACCGCGGGGTGACGTCATCGGTGTCACCGGGGGGCGAGGGGCGGGGCCGGGCGTGGGGACAGGGGAGGGGACAGGGGAGGGGACAGGGGAGGGGACAGGGGGGTCCCCGTGCCGGGGCCGCGGTGTGTGTCCCTGCTGCCGTCACCCTTCCCAGCGGCGGTGACCCGGGAGGGGACACGGGGCGGGGGACAGCGGACATCCTGCAGCCCCCCCAGCCCGGATTTCCCGGCACGGCGGGAGCGGCTCCCGGTGACCTTTGCCGGGGTGGGCACGGTGACACCGCGGGGACGCTGCGGTGTCCCCAGGGCCGCCGCCGTGTCCCCTCGCTGTCCCCGCGGGGGCGGGGCTGTCCCGCTGCCGCTCTGGGGGTCCCGCCGTCACCTCCTGCCTGGGGGGGGGGGTCCCTGCTCTGTGCCGGGGCTGTCCCGAGCCCGCGCCGCCGCCGTGGGGGCGGGGCGCACCTGGAGGGGGGTGGGGGGCCGGCAGAGGGATCCCCCCCCTGGGGAGGGGGCTCCGGGTTTGGGGGGTGGCCCAGAGCCCGGCTGGGGGGGGGTCTCCCGCTCGTGGGACACCCCCGCTCTTTGCCACACCCGGTACGGGCGGGGGTCCCGGTGACACCGGGGGGGGCTCGGAGCCCCTTTGGGGGGTGACCCCTCCCCAGCGGAGCGCTCCCGGCCGGCGCCAGCCCCCAGCGCGGCGGCGGCGGAGCCCCCCGCGCCCCCCGGTACCGGCGGGGCCCGGTGCCCGGGAACCTGTTGGGCCGCGGTTCCTGCCGCGGGCACGGCCCCACAAAAGCGCTTTTCAGCCGGGGCAGCCCCCGCGCCGTGTCCCCGCTGTCCCCGCTCCCGGTGCCGCTCCCGGTGCCGCTCCCGGTGCCGCTCCCGGCCGGGCATTGCCGTCCGCGCCGGGCGAAGGCTCCGCCGCAGGGCTGGGCTGCCTTTGTCCGCCTCAAGGGCACGGTTTCTGCTGGATCCCCGTCCCGCGGCTCTCCCGCCTGCGGGGGGCTCCTCGGAGACCCCCGGGGCTCCCGTTTTTCCCGGGGGGGCGGCGGGCGGGCAGCAGCTGCCGGGCCCGGCGTGTGCCGCATTCCAGGGATGCATTCGGGGCCGTGGGACGCGGAGCCGCTCCCCGCGGGGCTCCGGGGGCTGCGGGACCCCCCCGTGCCCGGGGGGACACGCGGGCCCACCCCCGCCGCCGGGCCCTGCCCGCCCCGGTGCTACCGGGGGGCACCGGGCGGGGGTCGCGGCCGGCACCGGGACAGCTCCGGTCGTGCCTTCCCGGGAACGGCCCCGGGGCGGTTCGGGGGGGCTGTGACAGGGACGTGCCACCCCCGCACCTGCGCCACGTGTCCCGGCGTGTCCCGGTGGGGCGCGGAGGCTCCGCCGGCCCCGGGGCCGGAACCCCCCCGGGCATTGGGGGTGCTCTCCATGCCGGGGGGGGCCCCGGGGGTCGCGGCCCGGTGCCGGGCGCGGCCGCGGTGCCCCGAGCCCGCAGGTGCAGGGTGGGGACAGGAAAGGGACATTTCCTGCCGCCGCTCCGAGGGGGGGTCCGCGCTCTTTGGGGGGGCTGGCTCCCGTCCTGGCCGTGGGGGCGGCGGCGGGACCGGAGGGGCGCTCCGGGGGCAGCGCCGCCGCTCCCGAGCTGCCGGGCGGGGCCGGGGCGCTGCCGGAGCCCCCCGTTCCGTGCCGTGCCGTGCCGTGCTGTGCCCAAGCAAAGGTTTGTTTGCTCGCTCCTCCCCGGCCAGGTGAGGCTCTTATCAGCGCTCCCGACATTACCGAGCTCCGCCGGCCGCTCCCACCGGGAGCCGCTCCCGCCGGGAGCCGCTCAGCCCGGCCCAGGGGAAACTGAGGCACGGCTGATCCCTTCCAGGAAAGCCGAAGATCCCCCCAAACTCTGCGGGCAGAGGGGAGGCAGCGCCCAGACCTGCAGCGCTGTGGGAGCGGAGGCTCGGCTCGGGGCTCGGGGGTCTCCCTGGCTGCAGCTGCTGCTGAGGAGAGCGCGCTCTCCTGGCTGCGAGCCCGGCTTTCCCTCCCCCGGCCGGGCTTTTGCGGATTGCTGGAGCTGGCTGAGCTCCCCCTGCCTTGGCCCGAATCCGCCGGGGTCCTGCGGGGCTGCGGCTGCTCGGCAGGAGGAGGGGAACGGACGAGGGGCCGTCCGTCCGTCCATCCATCCATCCATCCATCCATCCATCCATCCATCCATCCATCATCCCTCCAGGAACCGCCCCCCTCTCCCGGCCCCTTCCCCGCTGGATTTCCGTGCCCGGGACCCCCCTGGCAAACACGGAGCCCCGGGGGCGGGGGGCGGGCCGGGCCCCCCCTCCTGCTCCTCCCTCCCCCCGGAGCGTGGTGGGAGATGGGTGAGGGGCTTCCTGGGGAGGGGGCTGAGGTGCCCGGGTGGGATTCTCTGCCATCCTCGCCTCTCCCACCCCAGGGGGGGCCGCAGTTTGGGGTGCTGGTGCCCGGAGCCTCGCAGGGCCCCCCCTCCCAGCTGAGCCGGCGCTGGCAGGGAGCCCCCCCGGCTTCCATCCAGCCCCCCCCCGCTTCCATGCAGCCAGGGCGGATTAGGACGGAGCACGGCCTCGCATTCCTGCTTCCCTCCCGTCCCGGCCTCCCCCTCGTGCCGCTCTGACCATCTCCGGCACAAGCGCAGCTCCCGGTGCCCCCGGGACCGCTGCCACAAACTGCTCCCGGCCCCCCCGAACCCCCGCTCCGCTCCCCGGGATCCCCCGGGTGGGGGCCGCCCCTGGGTGCCCCCCCTGCTCGGGAAGGTGCCGCACTCCCCCTTTCCCAGGAGCGGAGCTGCGGGTGGGCTGCCGTGCCGTGCCGTGCCGTGCCGGGAATCTTGGCTGGAGGCAGCGGCATGCCGGAGCTGCTTGCCTTGGGTGGGCTCCCGCCCCCCGGGACCCGCGGGGACCACCGGGGGAGCCTGGGGGCGCCGCCGGGGCCGCGGGTCCCGCTGGGTTTTGGGGTGTGGGGGCAGGACCCCCCCAGCTCTGAGTCACGGCAGCTGCCCTGAGTCACTTCCCCCCCAGGTAAGGGGGGACAATGGTGCCCCTTGTGCCCCCCCTTGCAGCCGGGGGGGGCAGATTCCTTTGTGCCGAGCTGGCATCACCAGGAGCCGTCACCCCCTCCTTCCCTTCCCGCTTTGCGGCACCCCCGTCCTGGCATTCCTGCGGGGAGCAGCCCCCCCGGGACCCCCCTTTTGGGGTGAGCGGTGCCAACCCCCCCCACCTGCAGCCGCGGGCTGACTCAGCC